AAACTTCATACTCGCATACTTTATACTCGTTTGTATCCTTGCCCAATTTTCACAGTCTGGCATAATGCAGTTATCGAAGCTACTGTAGTACATGGTTAAAAATTAAGACAGCGTAAGCACAATTATTCCAGATATTAAAGGTTCTGGCAAGTAAAGAATTTTCAGTCCTGTCACAAATAGGCTACATATTATTATTGAGAATCTATGACATGCCATAACAAGCAAAAATTTTTTAAAAAAACTAATAAGCAGGCTAAAATTAATAAATACAAATGCATTCTGACAGTTTATGGGTTAATAATTATACTTTCTATTTGCAAAATTTCTTCAATTTTAACACAAAATAAGAAAAAAGTGAATTTTTAAGAAATTTGCGGGATTTCCCGAGTTAAAAAAACAGCCGGGATCTTGAGATCTCGTTGGAGAAACCCTAGTTTGGATCTATTTATAATGCTTACATTTTGTAACAAATTCGTAGAAATAAAATATCGAATATTAAATGACATCTAATACTTATGTCGTCTTTTAAGAAACTGCGGACATTCATTCGATACGTAAACACAATGTTGATCAATATTTAATTAAACGAAGTTTTCCTTAAACAATATATTTGATTTTAATTGTTGACTGGTGTAGTGACCGCATCTTTTGTTATTTAAATATTTCCTTTAACCGAGAGGTTCTTTTATTGCTTCTGTTAATCTAATTTTTACTCTCGCTCGTTGACGTCGCAATTCGTTCTTTTTTGAATTACACGTATTCGGTTTTCGTTCTTATTTAAGTATACACGTGAAACTCGATACGGTTTCTTCTTCCGTCGGATCTCAACATAAATCATTCTACGTTCGAATCAGTTTCATCATTGTCGTAATCCGTAACTTTTGTTCCACTCTATTTTATTCGTACGTTGTTATTTCTTTGTTAATTCGTACTTGTTAGACATGTTTGACATTGTTTCCTCTTTTACTCGAACCTTTCGCGTCGATATAATCATTATTATTCAATTTTCTCTCTCGTATTTGTTTCGATCGTTTTTAGGTACACATGTCGACTGTTTTATATTTGCTTATTAATAATATATTTGTATGTAAAAATAATCTGTTCGAATTTTCGATTCTTCTTTATTTCGCATTTCATCTTTGGATAAAATTCATAGTTTATACGATGACACACGCTATTTTACTTTTCCGGTTGTTATGTACACATAACAAGGGAAAGTATTGGAATCGTATCAGATTTGGTCCTCTGGGTTTTTTGCAAATCTCGCCTGTTTTGAGACCTCTGAACCGAAAAAGTGAAAAAAAAACCAGGAAGAAAGTGTGCGCGCGTGCTGGCATGTTTTGTTTAATATCTCAGGATGGGGTAGTGATTAAGAAACAGAATTTGGAATGGTAACTTATGTATAAGGGGAATCGATGCTATTAAATTTTGGTGGTTAAAGGTCGAGGGGGTCATGCGAGAGAGGTCAGACTTAATGAAGTTTACTTATCAGCATTTACAATTTTTTTTAACTTATCTCTCTCTCCTCAAATTAAGCTTTTTATCATTTTTTAATAATTAAAAATATAAAAAAATTTTATAATAAAATCTCATAACAACCGGGAAAGTTACGCTACTCGTTACTGATTTTTTTTTTTTACATTTGTTTTCGAAAACGATTATTGCATTTTTATTCTTAATTACTCTGGGAACAAAAAAATCTGTTCTAATTCTCGGTTAGTTTCTTAAAACCGTTTCTGACATTTGAGAATTTTACTTTTTTCCTATCATCTTATCTCTTATCTCTAAACAATATATAGGAAATTGGCTGATCGCATTGTGGTATTCGTGACAATGTCATATGTCGGTTCATGAATCGACAAACGGACATTGCTATCAGCGTTACTATTAATTGATAACCTGAGAATCCTGAGAAAGTTTTCACTGTCATCTTTCGAGATTTTCCAATTATAACTGACTAATTCCTTGCATATATTTATTATAATAATTATAAAAATGTAATCGTCATCGATTCCTTGAGAATCTTTCGAATCACTGTTACTGATTAATCCCATTAATAATCGCGTTGACATTATCATCGGAACTATTGACTTAATTGAAGTCAATCGAGATATACTTGAGATCATATAGCTCTTCCGGGTGGAATATCTTATCGATTCCAAGGAGTAATAACATTCAAAATAGAAAAAAAAAACATTTCAAAGAATAAAATAGGAAATAGATTGAAACCCGGGTTTAGTGGGCACTGGGTAATTTTGGCTTAGTAACGCGACTATTAGTGTGTTTTACTTTGATTATATAGACACTGCCTTCTGCGGACAATATACAAAACTTTTCTACCGTTCCTATTTTAACTGCTTTTAAGTGGACGGTACAATGATAGGTTATATGTTTTCATCAATGATTAAAAATTACCTATCTTGGATACCATTTGTTTCCAGTTTTGTTTGTGTTCTTAAATTTATGAAATAGTGTTTTCAGTTTCATTGTACGATACTAGTAGATAATATTTTGATACTCTATGTTTAAATATTGGTATTCCTCCTTCATATAACAGAAGGGAGGCATTAAGAAACTTAGAAAAATAGAAGGAAAGAATAATAGAAGTAGCGTGAATCTAATTAGTCACGTATTAGGAAAATTAGCAAACATCCTGCTTGGAAACGTAGTTAGTTATATAGCCTGCCGAAGCTTACAGTAGTATTGAGCCATCCACTTCAGACTAGATTTTTCCTTCTATATTTTTCTAAATTAATAAATGATTAATTTTTAGTTATTAAATTTAGTACAAAGTAGCCCTTAATGGCGTGTAGCGCAAATTATATTAGCTAATTATCGCGAAAAACTCCTGGCTAATTTAGCAATTCTGTTTTATCACACATTTCTTTTCAAAATAAAACTGTGTATTGAATATACTACAATTTTTAATTGGTACCTGACTGAAGTAGACAATTTCCGGTAGGAGTCTCCTAAACCTAGGTTTTACTGTTCATTGTTTCAATTTCCAAATATATTGTTTCTAATTAATAGACTATGAAGTTTCGATTCACGAAGTGTGATATGACATTTCTATTCTTTCGTAACAAATTATTTTGTCGGGTAAGCATTGAATTATCGAATGGCCTTACTATCTTTTTTTTCCTCTTTCTTTTTGTCTGAAGTACAGTATTTAAGTCGATCGATGCTTTAAATTCATTTTATAGACTTCAGCTAAAGTTAGCATTGGAATTTTCGTACCTGTGTCGAATCCAGGATAATAATCGATCCGTATTCTCTCAACATTTTGTATATAATCCATATTAGGATTTTATTTGCATTTTCTATTCAGGCCGCCCGATCCCATGCGAATCGAATTTTTATTATTGAAAGCAGTTAAGATTGGCAATATGATCCATAATAGATTTTTTTTTTTTACTTTTTCCGCCCTGTGATCACTATGAGGTCTTTCCTTCCGGGTTTAGGGTCGCGTGCTGAGGAACGGAGCCCTACTTGTCCAGCACAGACCATCCATAAAAAAATCCGGGATTTCTTGTCCGCCCGGTTAGATTCCGAATTCCTCAGAACGGTAGATTGACACCTGAATATTTTTAGTGAAACAAGATTTCTTGCCAGACCGACTGTAAATTTTTTTGTTGGAGAATATACATAAATTGTGAGGAATGCCGACATTTCTTAATCACAGTCGAGGAACAAAATGGTTTGTTTTTACAACAAATTATTCCATCTGCAGAAGATTCTTTTCGTGAAGTTTTCAAAGTGGTTCCTTTATCAGTCTGGCTCAGTTCGATCCTTAATCGAATTTTCTGTAATTTTAAAAACTACATTTTTCCAATGCCATTACATCGGACTTTGTAAATCTCTTCAATATTTATCGGGTTGTCATTCCGGTTATAATTATAATTATCAAGTGGCCTTGATAAGGTACTAACCTACTAAATATTAATGAATTTGCATCATTATTTTCTAAATTACGAGCTTTCCGAGAAACTTTTTTTTATGTGCAACGCCACATTAGCTTCGTAGTTTAAATAGCAATCACCTTAATTTGAATTACGAAATCTGACAATTATAGACATAAGTGATTTGGCACCTGAAGTAAGATTCGAAACCACTATATGGCAAACTGGAAACGACTTTTTAACAAACGTGGCCGCTACATTTCACACGTGCATTGTACATTATAATTTTCTACATTTAACTGCAAAGTTATAATTATTATTAAATTCTAGAGAAAAATTAACAGCTTATAATTCAGTATTTTGTGTAGAGTATACTACTGTAATCACATTGATCGTTTTATATCGATACATAAATATTTCAAGAATGTACGATTAATCGAATCCGAAAATCGAATAAAACGAACAAGTCATACGTAACCTGTGCACGATTTTGAGTCATAAATTAAAGAATATTAGTAAATGTATCATCGATTAGAGTGTTCTTTTATATTTAGAAATATCTAAGAGAATTTTTAATGAAACGGAGCATAAATTTCAGTTTGGAGATCTAAAACTTGCCCACTTCAACTAGAGAAATTGACTTTTAAAATTACTTTTATTTGTCGTTTTGCGTTTGTAACGAAGCCATATTATCAACTTCTATTCCATTTTATTGAATACAATAATTTTGAATTTAGAACGTTCATTTGACAATATTTTAGACCAAGCAACGTATTGTGTTTCGCGAATCGTTTTCGACACTCGCGTTTTTCACGTAATAAATCGTTATTTTTCGATGAAAATGCTTTGATAGAAAAATATCTGTGAATTTTTCATATGTGATAGACGAATTTGAAATTTTTATTTCTCGTATTTCTGACAAAAAATGCAGAAAAAAAATGAAGAAACATTATTGTGTGTGTCGTACAGAAGAAAAGCGTTATTATATTAAATTCTGTATTGCTATATTCAATTTTAAATAGGGATAGTCGCGGACTTTTGAATTTTTTTTTTCGTTCGACTTTTCGTCGATTACGTTAATAATTATAATTTTTTTTTCAGCCTTTCGTGGATGTCTGTCTGAAGTACAACAACAAGTACGAAGCCTGCAAATACATCTCCAAGGTGAAAGAAGAAAACAAAGTTAAATATCTGGTCAAAGTGGGGTGAGTAACTCTAATCGTTTGTCTTAAGTCTGGCGTTAGCCCGTGTAAAATCCCCCGTTGTGTGTGTAGGAAATTGGAGGAGGCCGCTAAATTGGCATTCGATCAGAAAGACGATGCAGCTCTGGATGCCGTTTTGAAGGCGTGCTCCGTAGTTAACCCGGGACTCACCGAAAAAATCAGGATGATGAAATATCAGTTGAGTAGTAAAAGATGAATTTCTATTCTGTTATTTGGATGTAAATTCTTGTTTTTGTACAGAAAGATCAAAGAATAAACCTTTGTTTATATAAATTGTATTTATTGAATATTACGTAAGTTACATTTAGTCAAGTTGAAATTTCGACGACACGTTTTCGGCACATTTATTGTCTGACAATCGATTTTCGGTCGAAACTACGAACCAGAATGGAGGAAGAATAGACGCACGAATCTTTGACTTAGGGGGGAAAACGTAAAGTTTATCACCTTATTGATGGAAAAGAACACGTTTCGTTCGTTCCTACTTCTAAAATGATTCCGGAGCATCAACCGGAAGAGCACCTTTTTCGTTACCGTTAACTTCGATTTTTTTTTGGATCGTTTTTTCGGCGTCTAAACGGCCGATTTTTTTTAGAATCTCGGCTGCGAGGATTTCCATTTCGAAAACAGACATTTTAGCATCGAAATAGCACCAAGACTGGCAGTGATGTATGAGTGACGACGAGAAGTGGGCGACTACAATAAGGTGATAGAGATTCGACACACAAAATATTGACACGACGTACAACGAATATCGATAAAATCGTGTTTTTCTTTATAATTACCTGATTTGGTTGTAGGAATGGTCTCGACTTCGTTAATGAATTCCAGTGAAAAAAAAATTCTGAAACAAAATTTATATGAAGCATGCGAATATTTACCGAATGAAGTTTTGAGCAAAAGTCAGAATGATCCTGGTATATGTATGTGTGTGGCACGTGACAAAAAAGAAACCGTAGCGAACGATGATCTGAGAATCTAAATATATTTGGGCCTGCCCAATGAGAAATATTTTGTGCGGTTTTTCTCGAAATCTTTCTTATTGTCGAGTTGGCGGAATTGACTCAAAGACGAAACAAGCTTAGTTAGCGTTTTGCAAATTTTCCAAACGAATTCGAGTTCGATGTGCGACTTTCGCTCGGGTCCGAAGAAAATAATTGCTCGTGCAATTTCTCCGTGAAGTTTGTTCGTTACAACCACAACGACGAATTTACATGGAGACGACTGGCACGGAAAATTTTGGAGAAATTCGAAAAAAAAACTCGGAATTCGACGCCCGGAATCCACCGGAACGAGTTTCGTCGGGACGAAGAGAATCGCGTAGCTTGGTGCGCGGGCAACCCTACTTATTTGACGTCGTTGGCCAGAACGTGATTATAAACAGAGAAGGAGAGATATTCTTCGCGTCCCGTTCTGGGTGGGATTTCTCCATCCCTGGTCAAACGAGGATCGTTACCATTCGTCAATGGTATTTTTCCATTTTGCGCACGCGAGTCTTCATCGAATCTCGGGCGACCCGCCACGTATAACCTATCTAAAGCAGATTCCTCCCTTTCCGAACGGAGGTGGAAATTGGTATCGTTGCTCGTCGTCTCTTCGTTACTCTTCCTGATGCAGAGTTCGTTGCCGGTCGAAGCTTTGAGTGGCTGCCTCTCTTCTTCTAGGATCTTGTGCTCTTTGGAGGTCCTCCTCCGTTCGAAGAATCCTTTCAGACTGGATCTCGTCGCGTGAATGCATTTGCGTTTTCTTTCCTGTCGAGGATTTCTACAGTTAAATAGACCATTGAAACTCTTAGTCTCTAACGTGTTTTGATTAGGAATGGTGGTCTTGAGATGAACGTTTTGTACATATGGAATGGGGTGGCATATCCTCTCGATTCGCTCCGACGCATCGTTCGACGTCGCACCGTTTCCGCTGGCACGAATTTGGAGAGAGACGTTCTGTTTGGAATACTGTTCGAAGGCCAAATCGTCCTTGTAGCCTCTCTCGAGAAACATGTCACTGTTCGCGTTTTTCTCCACATCTTTCATTAAGTTTCTCTCCATACTGGGGTTATAGCCTTGATGGGGCTGTAGCGGAACACTCAGTTTGGAGACGATGGAAGAGTTGGAATTCTTGGTCGCACCATTCTTGGTATTTGGCATCGACGAGGTAAAATTAAGCTCCGAAGGCAACGAAGCCACGACCGTCTCCAACGTGTTTTCGCAATTTTCTCCGACATCCACGCCAATCTTCGGATCCGATTCCGAGTCGTGTCGAAGCGTTTCTCCGGGTGTCTCGTTATCTGGCACGTTGATGACGACGCTGGACGAAGAAGGCGGCGACGTCTTGGTGACGTTCACTATAGGACTTACGCCGCTGGAATTGGCTAAATAAATAAACGAGAAAAACGTCGTTAGAAAAATTGCTCTTTCTGTGTAATTTGCGTAAGAAAAGACGCGTACCTTTGTGGCTCTCCCACTGCTTGGACACTTCTATCAGGCGTTCCACCGCCCCTTCCGTGGTTAACCTGGCATCGGCATCGTGATCCCAACAATCTTCGATGGTTTCCTTCAATTCTTTGACGGCCTGTCAAATAATTTTTAAAAGATGAATAAAATGTCGAAGGAATAAGATTATACGACGAATGGTACCTACCGGGTTGGTATCCTTCCAGATATCAGGAAACAGAGGTCGAGCCTTATTTCGAGCCACCAGCACTTGCATTTGCTCCATGCTGGGTTTCAAACCGTTCAGTTCCCTATCGAAGGGCAGTCTGTAAGCGGGAACTTCTATTCCTAGATAAAAGTTAAAAATTTTCTCGTGTATTTTGATTGCTTTTTTCGAATTTTAATAGCAACGAAGCAACGATAAAATATTTGTCTTTTGTGTACACGCGCGTTGTTAATCGTTTGCGAGTGCCACAACGGGGTCACGATTTAATTGCGTTAGTGCGGATTGCGGACGGTCGATGAGAAGACGATCGTTTCGCCGGTTATTATTCGCGCCACGCATAACTGGTGTATCGATTTTAAATGTCGTAACAATATGTTGACTAACAAGTAACGCATGCGATCTTCATTGGGACGGAGATCCGCGATCATTTACGTAATAGCTGCGTTGAAATCGCACTGCTGAAGTTATCTTAAGATGTTTAACAGTCTGGCCGATTTTCTTCTACTTTTTGGAAGAATTTTAAATATTTCTCGAATACAAAATATGTAAGCTAACAAATTATACACAGTGTATTGTCAAAATTAAATATGTATGGAGTAAATTTTACTAAGCCTTGGAAAATTAAAGCTTTCGTTGTTTAGATTTTGATTTTGGAAGAATCTGTAGATTACAAATATTCATTTCCTGATACTTTCGAGGAGTAATTAAACGAATATAACCGTAGAAAATGATATTATTTACAGATCCTTGCCCTTGTTTTAAAAATAGTCAATAGTGGTGATGTACTATAGCCGAATTTTTTTCGTTTATTTTTGAAGATTCTAGATTGGCGAGAGACATCTGAGCTCGTTTATCATTTTCTTCATTAAGAAAAGCCAAGGAAAACGATTTTTAATTACTTCTGAATTTTTAAAATAAACAAACAAGACATTACCAAATACTTGGAAATGATTTCATGGGCTAATATTGAGATATTCAAACTATTTTATGATACTTCTGATATCGATGATGATGATTTTTATCATTTGTCAATGCACTTCACTGTCTTAATAACTACCAAATCATGGTTTCGGTTTATGAGACGGAATTTAATTGAAAATGGTTAAAATTCATTGGTTGGACGTGAGGGTACTCGAACGAGTCCAACAATACTTTGCAACGCATTAAAGAACAAGATAAATAGCGTGTTTACAGATGTTTTTCTAACCATCTGATTCTATTTTTGTTTTATAATACTACCGACAGCTGATACGAAATATTTTTTAACTGTCGTTTTATAAATCCTAGAGATCTTCGCCCGCTTGTTCAGAAGTTTCCTGAAGATTCATCGATTACAATGCCGCTCCTATTTTTTTTACTCCACAACGCTTTTAACCTAAGTATAATAGGTCTACACAATTCAACAATATTTTTGTTGTTTACGAAAAGAAAGATGATGCTGGAGATGTTTATCGTAATTCGGAGAACTTTAAGAAATTAAAGTTCAGCGATTTCTATGATTTTATTGTTTAATGAAATTATTTATATATAAATTACGGTTCTAAAAATCGCAATCGAAAGAAAGAAAGAAAGAAAAAAAGTCAAATATTACTCTATTTGGCAATTTGAAAATAAAGAAAATGGCGACTATAGTCAAGGTTTACACTGAAAAGCGGGTATTTCCCAGAATAAGAAGGGAACCGACACGCTGAATGTTCAATGTGCCTCAGTAGCTAAGCAATGAGAAGTATTGGAAATCTAGTGTTTGAATTTTCGGAAAAAAAGAAGAAAAACGAAGAGTCAAAAATCTCATTACATGACCATCGCGTGACATTTTTTCTTTTTTTTTATAATCTGGAACTTTTTTGCAAAAATGTCGGTGATTTCAAACCGATTTTAACAGTTTAAACATATATAACATATATGACGATTATATTATACTTTGTAATGAACGTGGAATTATTTTTCTTTGCGTATTTAGACTAATGAACACGGGATTCAGTGTAATTCTGGGAAAGACTCTAAACAATGCAATTCTGTTGTATGGATCAGTTAACTCGGCTTCGATTAAGAAGCTATTAGATTGGATGGTCTGCTTAACAACAATGATATTGAAGTTGACTGGGAGACGTTGGCTGTTCGCCTAGTCTACTCCACTTTTTTTTTTTTTGTTTTACTGAAAACAAAAAGATTTTACTCGATAAGGATCTTTGGCGGTGTAAAAATGCCAAGTGCAATCGTTGACACGAACGTGAGAAGAAAAGAACTGGAAGATTAGAATGTAGTATTAATTTTTTTTTCCTACTCTTTTTCAAATATTTTAAAATAGAATAGGAATAGGTTGAAAAAGAGAGCACTTTATCGGTTTGAATCCTTCTGGTGTCTCACGTGGAGATTTCAAAATATACATTGAAAACCTTATTAACGCAGCGTAGCTTCAAGCTGGCGGTAATGTTTGCCAAAGTATAATTAGAATTTTTTTAAGTCTCGGTGCGAACCTATTTTTGGAGCATTCTGCAGGGAAATCTTTTTTCGATTATTTTAAACGTAAACAAAAATTGAACATTTTGAAAATTTCCTAAAGAATTTAGCATTTTCAGACTCTATCGACATATTAATTTAATTATTTCGTGAGAAAGTAAAATTAGAAAAATGGTGCCATTCACGAACTTCGCTCTGGAAATAATTGTTATTATTTAAAGTATTAAGCAATTTACCTCGCGTGCATTCGATATAAAATTATAATCGTGTTCGATTATTCTGTATTCGTGGTAAGTAGTTTTAGTTTTCACGTCAATAAATTAATAAAATCATTTATCAACATTAATGGTTTCTATTTGAATAAATTTATGAATCAGGAAGTCTCTTCCTAACTTTTTTATGCATAGTAAATCGACAGATATTTACAGTAGACTTATTTAAAAGCCTAATCTCTATATTCCGAAGTATTCATTCGTGGTATATTTGAATCGTAAGATATTTCTATTTTTCTAAGATTTAGTCGCGTAAACATCTTTAAACAATTCGATATTATTATCTACTATTTAAACAAACATTACTCGTCTCGGATGCATTCTGGATTTTTGGTCGCGAATATCTCGATTGTCCTTCGGAAAATGCATTTATTCGTGACGACCATTAAAAAATATATATATATAAATATATCGAAGGATGAGGCTGCTATAGAATACGCCGTTAGAATCCATAATTACGATTATATAAATCCATAAATATCTGCAATTCAAATTAGATTAATGAGATTTTTCTTCGTAAATTGAGAAGTGTTGAAATCACAAAACATCTTCAACCGTAGCATTTTATGCGAGATGATATGGGTATACTGTGGTATATTTATATCTAGCAAAAGAAAGGGTGTAATTCACTATAGACGATGTTCTTAGTTATATTAGCCCCACTCTATGTAATCTTTGAATATAAATACACTTTGCAGGTAAGGAGTGGAACTGAAATGTCAGAAGTAGAGATCTGTAGTGTTCTTCGTTAATTTTAACGACAAATATGGCAATGCTTAGAATAAACATAACAAAGTCTAACATACAGCTAGATTTTTAGTTGTCAAATTCATCAATCGAAGATGTTACGTCATCTTAAACGAATAGTTTAGTTACTCCAAATGTTTTAAGGCCGTCATTTGCGCTAAATTATATGACCAGTAGAGAAGATCGGTGCAAATGACTATCGCCTAGATCAGGGGTCACCAAAGTTTTTTCACAACGGGCCAGATAACTGAGAGAATGACGAGCGCGGGCCGCGTAACCATTTTGTTCAATACAGTACATTTAATACACAAAAATTAAAGACAACCAACATACTGTATTTATTTACCAATACGCAAACACGGTGGCTGCAGCAAGCTCGTAATCGCTTTTCTTAGAAACTTCATTGTAGGTACTTACACAAAAGTGCTCTGATATTCAAAGTCGCCGAATTTTTTATTTCACTGATTTTCCTAAAAATTATATTATTGTACGATGCAAAAATCAGATTGGACCAATTCTGGTATTTTTACTTACGCTTATTTTAATTTTTCTACATAGTAAGTTTATCTACAATCTATGATATTTCCCGTATAAATAATTATAATTTAACTCATTTGTGGGACAGTGTGGCAGCGGGCCGGATGAGCTGATCTCTCGGGCCGTAGTTTAGTGATCCCTGGTCTAGATGGATCAATGAAGAGAAGTCGCCAATTATTTTGTACATTTCTTTGTTGGAAATCTCAAACATTGTCGTTTCTCATTTCTTCAGATTGCTGATTTTCATCACTAATATAATTTTAATCTATTCAGGAATAATTTTTTAACTCTTTCCTCCCTGTGGCACTAAGAGGGCCTCTTTTCGCAAGCCCATTATTATGGGTTCGGCCATGCCCATGATAGGGCTGCCGGGTGGTGAGGGACGGGGCCTGACATATCCAGGCGGACCACCCCGAAAAATTCTTTGGGATTTTTCGACCCGTCCGGATTCGATTCCGCCCCCCCAGAGCGGTAGGTTGCAACCTTGACCGCTTGAATACTGAATAGTCAGGCCGGATAGCAACCTTGACCGCTTGGCTATCCGGCCTGACTATTCAGTATTCAGGAATTAGTTGTCATTCTCTTCCTAGTTTAATAATTATCACTCCAGTTTCTTTAAATTTCATTGCGTTTACATTGTAAAACACGGGATCCGCAGAGGGGCAAACGGGGCACTCGCTCTCTTTTGAGATCGAATTAAATTATTTCACAAATTATAATCGTTAAAGTGATTGAGATACATAACCTTATACCCTCGATTGTAAGACGCTTTGATACAATACTGTATTTCATAATCTACTTGTGAAGAGACCCAAAAATTAAATAAAAATTCATTGATATAATTATTTGTCTCCAAGCTTTGCTCCTCTGGAAAATTTTTGAATACAAATATTTAGATCGTTTTTCAGACCATTCGTGACAATTGTTTTAAATATATATACACAGTATATGCATGAATATCAAAAGACGCAATTGTTACAGAATGTATCGCTGGAATTCAATAATTATTATAAATTCACTTATTGAATGCAGCTTGTGAAGGACACAAGTAATAAAATCATTACTGACGTTTTAAAACTCATTGCACGTACGATAATTCATGTCACATGTGCAGCTAAAGCATTGGTACATATTATTATTCTTTCTCATATAGAATTTGTTTAATGGTTGCAGCTTTTTCGATAGTCTCCGAAGAATATTAAAGTCATCTGTAACCATTACACAAATCATTATCAAATAACAAGTGGCGTCGTTTCACATCCTATGAGGACTACAAAGCAATTCCTGCGCGAGAATAGCTCAATTATTAACAAGAATAGTTCTTAGTTATAAACATAATTAGAGTATTTCCATATTGCCTGATTTTTTTATTTTAGATCTCAAAGGATAAGAGAGATCGAGACAAGATATTTTTTATTACGAACGTCACTTAAGACAACGCAACACAATTAATATCAATAGAGAGCCTATTGATTGACGATGTAATTTTATACTCTTAGCTAAAAATAGGAACACTTTTTTCCATCATTTTTATATTAGATTTGATAAATTATTTAAAACAAAGAGCCATTAATGATAGTTAAGCGTCTTAAAATATCATTCGTGTGTTTGTTTATAGTATCTTACAGGTTATATTAAGCAACACGATATTTAGATCTATGAGTATTATTAGAATATTCAGTATAAACGGTTCATTGATAAATTGGGGCAAGATGAAAAAGGAAATGGGGCAAAATGATTGGTGACCTTGTTCTATTAGATAAATCATACAAACTGATAATCGCCGTTTCAAATGTATGTATTTATAAACTTACAAATCAATTTTAATTTATTTTATAGAAATACAATAATGAATTAATTACAGCAACTTATAAAAAGTAAGATGTAAAAACAAATTAATAAAAATATGAAACAGTACAAATTAGAATTTATTCAAAGTCGAAATTGTCAAAATGTATAAAATTACAAAAAAAAAGAAGAGAGAGGAAAAAAAAAAAACTTTGACGTTCGTATTCATTAAATTGTCCATTGTGATAGACAGACTTTATTTTTGAAATATCAGAAATCTAGTAATAAAGTCTTTTAAAACTCATTACGGTCTTTTTCCGCTAAATAATGCTAGACCTCCGATCGTTAGACTTCTATCATGTTGAACTCAACAACATTTAAATTCAGTTTAACATAAAAAGGAACAAAAAACATCCCAGCATGTATTTCATGAATGGACAGAACTGACTGAGAATGGTAAAATTTATTAGTTTCTCATCACGTAGACATTTTACAAAACCAATTTCCAATATTTTATGCTTTCGAAAAAGAATAGGCCTATATAAGAATGCAGAAGGAATAAATACAGTCGCTAGACACTAACAAAAGTAAACTTATCACAAGCTTTTAGACAAACGAAAAATCGAATAAAGATTAAAAAAAAAAAGAACTTTAAATTATTCTGGATGTTTTTCATACATTAAATGTATGAAAGAGCTTAGATACAACGTGGCAATTGTCAGAAATCAAATCGTAAAAGCTGGTACATAATACTAGTTAAATAAATCCGTTTATATTAAAACTAATTGTTTAATTGTTTTAATTAACGCGGCGTTAATTTCTCGGGCGATTGAAGTTTTTAATTATAAAATTAAATTTACAAGTATCGGGCGAATCTGGGAATTTAAAATCTTCGAGTGCCGGTACTTTAAAGAATACGCGAATATTTCAAATAGATTCCAATGCCTGCCCTGGGGTATACTAGTGTCAAATCTGTACATATTTACAATTTTTCAATCTCTTTCATATAGTTAATTGTTCTCACGACTATTGTTACGAACTCTTTTACCAGAAGATCGGTTGGCTAACTCAATATATAAATGCTGAAATAAAATTATTATTCTTGCTGTAAGTTTTATTTTTTATATTATGAATTCTAACGAAAAAAAACAAGGAAAAAACACGAAATCTCTGTGGAAATAAAATGAATGCTTACGGCCATTTACTGAAAGTACTTAATTACGCTCAAATTCCACGATCTATGATGTAAATGACGAAGTTTCGACGGGAAAAAATTCGAATTCCTCTTTAAATCTTTATTCAATAAGACGACGATGGCAGAATATAATGTGCGCATTGCAATTATACGTTGCAAATTTGAGATTAATATCGAGTGGGAGGTTTGTCCACTGCATTGATAGATGATACCGCACGTATCTAGTTGTTGAGTAGCTCACATCTTCAAACATCTGGCGTCATCCACAACTATTAAGTTATATCAAGTAAAAGAGATTTGTTTATTGGTCTTGTGCTTAATAAAAAGTTCGTTTCTCTTAGCGATAGCCACTCTCGACAACTGGCTAAATGAAGAAAAAGGGTGTTTTATGTTTGTATACCAATACTAATTAATATACAAATATGTAGAAATCGATTGCTATGGTTCTGTCGTAATATCGATTTATCTCAAAGACTGGAGCAATTAATATTTGTATAATATCATATTTGTAACAATACATTTTATATCTTTAGAAGTTAGCACGTTTTTACATCGCATTTTATAGGCTACATAACGTATAACTTATATATATTAATTACAATTTATTTCATAAGAATTGTGAAAATTGAGTTTAACTGTTATACTCTTAGAATTTTTAACAAATCTCATTTAGTATTCTAATTCAAACGACGGGATAATTTATTAGCATTTGTGTTTTTTGCGTGAAAGTTTAATCTTGCGAGTTATTGGTATTTGCATTTAATTTGATTTTGTAACGCTTCTTTCGTCACAATATCGGATTTGTTGTTTAATCGACAAAACGGATAGGCTTACGTCGATGTCTATAAACACGGCATCGTCTTTCTTCTAATGATTCGGATCGTATTTCGTTCAACAGAAACGACACAAGTTGTTTTGGTGACGTCTTCTACGAATTTTGATTCTAGTTAAACACGCGTACCGGATCGTTTGAATTTTTTGGATTGGCTGAACATCGATTTGCTAACTTTCATTCGCAGAAAAAAAAAGTGAATAATTTCCATCGAATTGTTTTTGTTAATGAAAACGGAATTCGTAAAAGTTGTTTTGTTTTTTTATACAAACGAACAATGTAAATTATCAATACGACTATGATGGTGAAGTCATCTTAGTCTTCCTGCTTTAACAGGAAGAGTAAGATGAGAAAATAAACGAAAACGCCTTTCCAGCATCAAAATATGTGCCAAAATGTGAAGCCTAGGAGAGTCAGGAGGATTCGACACCACACTAAAAGACAAGAGACAATATGGATGTTATAACACAAATAAAATAAAATGAGAAGAGACCAATTTTTTCTCAATTTATCCATCCTATAATAATATTATAAAGAATGCAATATATTTTAATTAATTATATGATTCAATATCTTGAGATTTAATACACAATTTCAAAATATTACACACCCACTCTCCTGTATTGAAATAAAAAGTGTTGGTCGAAAGGTATTCTACAGTAATGGGAAGAACATCTAGAAAAGTTTTAATCAAATTACCGAATTTTGCATACGTTTAGTTGGTCGTAAAATGACTTAGATTCGGAATTTGTATTGTCATATTATTTATCTCAATTGTTTTCCATTCGTGTAAAGTGAATAATTGAAATAACTTGTAATGAATGATGATATGATGGAAATTCCCAATTTATTATAATTATCCATCTTAACAATGCCAGATTGTCTACTAGCACGCGAGGATATACTATACATGCCTAGAGAACCCGGATCAAAATTGGAAAAATAAATAAATAAAGTAATTTTATCATCCCAATTGTATATACTAATTTATAAATAATTTTATATATAGAATTAGACGTTATTAGTTTATAATATCGTAAAATTATGTAGAAGGTTTCCTAATCTTATGTGCCTAGAGGTCACAAAAGGTCTTGATCCACTATTGCATCTTAAATCTAGTAACAATAATAATAACTGTAGTAACAATAGAAACAAATTGAAATGAATTACCTTGGAAGAGATCCGAACATCTCGAAGCAATTTCCCACAGAATGAGACCCAAAGCGTACACGTCGGCTTGTTTCAACGAAGTTTCACAATCCCTCAGGTTAACCGCTCCTTCCAGCACTTCTGGCGCCATGTAGCGCAAGGTTCCCACCTATTTTGACATCAAATTAAATTCACTCCTTTCTTCAAATCTGCGAATATCCAAAAAAAATACTTACGTCGGCAAGGGGAGTGGTTTCGGCCACCCTCATTTCTCCGTTCCTGTAATACTTCCCCTGCTGAAGACAGATAGCGAAGCCGAAGTCGCAAATCATGCACCCTCCGTCGTTACGTATCAAAACATTTCTCGACGTCAAGTCTCTATGAGCTACGCACGGTTTGATCTTATCTGCAAGATGTAAAATGAGAGGGGTGTGGGAAAAGTCCCGCGTGTATCGACAAATACATTGGCTACTTACTATCTTTAAATACTGCCGTGTGTAGATACGCTAGACCGGACGTTAAATTTTTGCTTATTTTACACAGTCCGGCCCAATTAATGGTGTGATTTCTGAGGTAATCTTGTAAACAACCGGAAGGCGAATAGGAAAGAACTAACAGGTACTCTGTCTTGCCGATTTCGTCTATCCTCTCTTTGGCTCCTATCCGCGAGAAAGAACCGTCAATTATCCGTTTGTTTATAAAATGATCATTAAAAAAATGAACTTACCAATGAATTTGACCAGACAAGGGTGATCCATAAAAGGTAGAGAATAGATTTCGTTCTCGTTCCTGAAGTACTGTTCATTTTCGTGACTGAATATCTTGACCGCCACTTCTTTGTTATCATCCATTTTACCCAAGTGAACGGATCCGTACTTTCCTTTTCCGATCATCTTTTCGATAGTTAATTTATCTATGTCGAATGTCTGGCAGAAGGAGGGTGGCGAAATGATGCGCTGAATCGAGTCCGAATTCGTCTTCCTGTTAAAGCAGTAGACTCTGAAGAAAACGAAAACGGCAACTCCAATGATGGTCAGCGAAAAAGTGCAGACTAAGACTATGGTCGAAGCTTTCGTGTTATTTGTCGCATGTTCTACCGAATTATATCCCAGACGAGACAGTTTATTCTCCGAAGATTCTAAAAAAAAAAAAAATACAAGCATTCTGGTAAAAATTAATTTCGAAAGAATAATTTAGATTCTGTTAAAACGTGGAATCGAAATGATATTGCCAAGAATTAAGGAATTTCTAATTATAATAATTGGATGAAGAGTCGCCTTTCCAGCTAAAATTGTAATACATTTTTACAATGAGTAGTATTTTTAACATTATCTTACACACTGAAAGATTTCGTATCGAGATCTTTAGAATATTTGAGTAACTCTTTGTAGGAGTTATGAATGTAATTTAGAAGAAAAGGCTTGAAGCATTAGTAGTGTGGATGACATTACTATAAAGATCGAGCCACGGAGAGAAAGAAACAAAAAAAATCACAATAGACTACAATCCAAAAAGATGCCAGCATAATATGGAATAGTGTGATTGAATCACCACAACAAATAGGTTAACTGTATTCGAAAATATCTCGAAGTTTCAAATTTTTTCAATGAAATTTTACGTTTCTGTAACCGTCCAAAAATAAATATTTCGAATTTCAGATTCCAGTTGACAGCATTAACTTTCTTCGTGGACAGAATCGAGAATCGTCATCTTTCGTTGACAGGAATTTTAAAAATTTTCAAATACATTTATTAATATATATATACACACCATATGTAGGTTATATATGCACACATACAGTGCAAAGGTTTGGCATCAAATGTGCATTTTAAAAGACAAATTCAAAGCATATGTACTGTTATTTTTTAATAAAGGAATTTTTAGATTATTCTAAAATGTTGCAAAACATTGTAAATTTTGTAAATAATGTTGTTATAGAAGCTTCTGGAGTATCTTAAAAAGCTTACGACATTTTATAAATATTTCTAGAATTTTCTCGAACTTTTTAAAAGCCTTTTGTTAGCATTATATGAAGATGGCATTTTCTGTTATTCGTATCGATTCCTAATCAGAATCGATATCAGAATATGCTAAAAATTTAACAGTAAAGACTCGAAAGATCAGTCTTGAAGATCCCAAATAATTTCTTAAACTTCCGCAGGAGATTTGTAGTGGAATAATTAAAATCCACTGCAAATCTTCTGCAGAAATTTAAGAAATGAGAGATTTTTCAGACAATGTAAAACTGAAAGATCTCGATAAACAACTGACGTAGTCTGACAGTTGAAGTTCTAATAAAGAAGCCGTGGTTTAATTCAAAGAATCAAAAAGATAGACTCGCTTTTGCGTAAGAGAATATCAATTGGGAGCTTATAACAATGGTCCAAAGTGTTCTGATCTGACGAATCTAAATGTGTTGTTTGGCAGCGATGGTAGAAAATACATCCGACGTCCGGTGGGCCCACGCTATATGTCTGACACGGTAAAACAGGAGATGGAGGCGTGATGGTCTACGGTTGTTTTCCATCGTCTGACGTTGTTCTGCTCGGGCTTATCAGGAAAAATATATTCAAGGACATCCTCTAAGAAACAATGCAACTTTTTGATCGTACGAAAATGCGTTGAGGACGAAATTATCAAATAGATAAGGATCCAAAACACCGATTCGAGGTAGTACCGAAAGGAATAAAGGACAATCGCAATTGAATTCAGATCAGTTTGTAGATCTCCATTCAATCGGACATCTTTGAGACGAGTCGTGCCGACTCGTCTCAAAGATGTCCGATTGTCTTTTACAACGAAATAGAGGAATTGTTGGTGGATCTGGAAAACGAATGGAAAAATATTCCTCGGTCTACAATTGATAACACAAGGATTTTAGAACTGATTTTAGCTATATTTGGGTCACTGAATCCAAATATGAAATCAGTTTTTCTCTATCAGCTCTACTTTTTTAGATCTGTGTTTTTTTAACATACAGTGCTACATGAAATGTACAGCTCTAATTCCAGTTTGTACAGTTCTAAATCATATATGCAAGAATTGATTCCTGTATATTTTTCCCATTGTTAGTCTGCCGTCCAGTTAGTTCCAGGTAAATCCACCAAATGAAGTAAGCATTCGGTAACGAATTGACGTTCAATGCTTCAACTAGAGTTGAGGTAAGTTTGTAAGTTCTAGCCGTGCAGTGTCTAGATCAGTGTTTCCCAACCTTTTTTGTGCTATGCCCCACCTAAGCCTTTCTAAAATTCTTATGCCTCAGTTAAGTATAGAAAAAATTAAAGCAGGAATATTTGACGGCCCACAAATAAGACAACTCATTAACGATCTTGCCTTCGTCAATTCGATGAATGAAGCTGAGCAAAAAGCCTGGACTTCATTTGTTGCAGTTGTCAGAAATTTTCTAGGCAAACGCAAAGCTGAAAATTATGTTGAACTGGTAAACGAGATGCTTAACAGTTTCAAATTCGTTGGGTGTAATATGAGTATTAAGGTGCACTATTTACACAGTCACTTAGACCGTTTTCCTGAAAATTTAGGAGACACTAGTGAAGAACAAGGTGAAAGATTTCACCAGGATATTAAAACTATAGAGGACCGCTACCAAGGAAGATGGGATACGAATATGATGGCAGATTACTGCTGGAGTTTAAAAAGGGATTGCTCCAAAATACATTCACGAAAGTCACGGAAATTAAGCTTCCTTAATGTGTAACTGTTTAGTTTTATTGATGACTTTTTCCTCTATCTTTGTATAGAATAATATTTGCATAATATAATAATAAAAATTCCGTGTTTAGTTTTTTCACTTGATCCATGGATTTAACTTAAGATACTGAAACGTATATTTCGCTAAAATGCTATATCTTAAAAATTAGAGCTCCTAAACAAAAACTAATGCCATATTTGAATTCAGCTCAAAATACCTGGGCACCAAAACCACTGTTGACCTGTGTAATCTGATTGCATCAATATCTCGTAGTTTTAAAAAAACAAACTTAACTTTTGTTGATTTGTTTACCTCTAACTGTATTTTATCATTGTAACAGGTTTTATGTTTATTAATATACTGATTCAAAACTTTTGCTCTCTACTGTGTAAGTACTGTACACGTATAAAGACAGGAGAGAGAGAAAAAAAGAGGTTGTAGTTTTACTCGAAGACATCTTTCATATGTACCAAACGATATGTTGTCCTGTATAATTACAATTTATAGGAATGGAAATATTGCTAATGATGTGGAGGATTTCATAAATCATCTTCAACGTAATTATTTATTAATGACGAAGGAACAGATAAAAGCAATTTCCGAAACAAAATTCATCTTCTTTATGTTTCGGGCCGGATTAATCGTTGAACGACAGAATAATGTCTTTAATGACGATTTCCAATGACTGTAGTCTAGAATATAATATTCAAACGAGTCTGGAAATAAGATGGTCAGAATGGATTCTAGAGATGAAAAACAAGTTTTTTTTTGTTTTTTACATAAATAATTAAGGAGTGGTTTCTCACACGATAAGTATTTTCGCATCGATACCGTCTTCCGAGAATGCCATAAAATGTGGTAATCACTGCATGGCGCCAATGAAATTTCTATGCGGAATCATTTAATAAAAACCATAGTGCGCGGTTCTTTTAATTAAGTCCTAATAATTTTCGAATCAGTTTATCCAAAATGCTCGATAACCAATTTACTAAGAATTAACTTATCATGATAAGTTTTGGTGCCAAGCGGTGACGAAGCGCCCATTCGAAACTCCCTTATAATGTTTCGTGAATGTAACCATTGCCAGTTTTATTTTGAATTACGTTTCTGGTGGATGATCAGTTGGATTTAGAACTATTACTAATAGTTATCTCGAGCAAAATAAACAATAAAGAAACGCATTGATCTTTGTCAGTTGAGATAGGTCTTGCTTGCTCTCTGTCATAGATCGGCGTAGAATCAATCTCGACTTAGATATCGAGAATTTGATTTATTCTATAAAAAAAACTGTATTATCAAATTTCTGGCATATAAATCGACTTTCTAAGCCTGAAAAAAATCATTCTAAACTTAGACTTTATTTATATGGCGGGTAAAAATACTTGCATCATACAATGGTCTACTACAATATACGGTATATAGCGATACTATCATGATTTGGTATTATGTAAACTATTGATATTTTATTGCAATTGTTGATTTTAGATCGAATGTATTTACCAGTACATCCGACGTCTAATAGTTAACTTATTAAAGGTTTTAGTGGTGTTTGGAGTCCTACATCCCTTCTTACATCCCTTCTTATATGAACTATATACGAAAAATTTTAATACGTATCTCATATTGAAAAATATTTCGGTGTGTTAATGAAAATAGTAAGGCTTCATTACATTATTTCACTATAAGTTACTGTTTACATCATTCACATTTCAGTTTTAGCCTGTAACTTTCATATTTTTGAGAGGGGTCAAAATGTAGGGCGGTTAATCACACACAAACATATACACGTAAAATTTTAAGCTGAAAATCTTGATGTTGACTTACACTCCTACAAATACAGTATTATATTTCGTGATTATTTTCACAAATTTAATTACCAATCAGTTAAATGAACCGTAATAAACTTCTCTTCCTTTCGTCAACGCCTTAAAGTTATCAAGTGATGGGAGAAACAGACTCATTTTAAGTAACCGAGAATGAGAATAGTAATGCTGTTGAATAAATAAAAATGAATCTTATAAAACTGTAGCGAATAAATATAGCAAAGTTTAAAAATATACAACGATGAATGAAGAGAAAAGAGGAAGAAGGCGGTTTGGAAACGTCATTAAGGGAATTAGTAACATTCGAGTTTTCTTATCGAGACGACAAATAAGAGCAAAAGGTAAGAATTTTTCTTATCCTATTTCCAGGCAGCCATAAAGTGAATGTACAAAGACGAGAACAACAAAACTTTTCCCTGTAATTCTACGAATTTCGTTTACAAATTAGTACTGTGTTTTATTCTACAACAGAGAGGTCATATTGAGCTCTCTTTCCATTTAAGATCACGATTCACAAGTCATTTTACAAATACGATCGGTTAAACCTGCCATCACTAATTTCTAATCGAAATTTTTATTGAACCACGTAATTCTGGGAGAGAGTTGCATCCATTTCGAAGCGCGAGTTGACATCGAATAAGGGGAATGAGCAAAAGAGTTCTAACCTGGTTCTCCATCCTTCACAGTATAGTCTTTGTTGCACAGATTGGCCGAGCAGCAACAGAATTTGCTGTCGTTCTTAGCTTTAGGCGATTTGTCCGCGATGCATTGTTGTAATTTGCAGGCGTCGCTTCCTTTGTGCTTCCAACATCCTGAAAAAAAACAAGGAAAAACAAAGACACTTTCGTTATGCATCCTGACTAAATCTAAGTGAATCGAAAAAAAATTTTTTCCTTCCTACTTCTTTTTTCGTAAAGGAACTCGACGAACGGAGCGATAAATGATATCATTTTCATATTAATAATGTAAATTCTTAAGAGTTAGAAAAGTAGGAATTTAAAGCGTCGCGAATTTGAATAATTTGAAATTTATAAATAGGACGAGATAAAGCCAAATCGAAGAATTTAAGAGAATAACGTTTAAAGTGTTTTCCGATCTGAAGTATGCGTATCCTGGAGATACCTGAAGCACCTGCAGGAAGCACGCAAAATCTGTGTTATGGTTGCCAAAAGAGGTTTCAAATCAGCAATTTCTTCAGTTTAAATTTCCATATAGGCGATTCAAAATTTTCTACAAGTCCAAAAATCTGCTAATTTTAATTCTTTACGAACTTTACGATGTTTTATACATTTCTGAAGATCCTAATCAGTTTAATCTTACTTTTCTATCGCTATTACTAAGATAAGCGAGGAAGTACTTTAAAAGAAAAATGAACCATTAAAAATCAATGATTATGGAGCAACAGTTGGAAGCCATTTGACAGCTTTCTTTAACTTTAAAATGTCAATTTACGGACGTTTAAGGATGCGCAAAATTTTCCATTTTTAGAAAAGGAATACGTGGACAAGAAGTGGTTGAGAACTAATGATTTAGAGAGATCATCGAAGGAAACATTTCTCTAGCGTCAGAATTAATACAACTTCATCATAAACAATAGAGAGGACTCGTAAAGGAAGCTGTACGCACGCTTCCTTTACAAGGAAGATGTCTAATATTTTCCTGGCGCGTTTTCGATGGAATAAGGAAAATACGGAGAAGGATAAACTAGATCTTACCCTGTGACTGAACGACGTAAGTCTTGTTGGCGGTCTCCAACAGCAGAGTGAAGCAATAATCGGAATCAGAGTTGCATTCTGTGATATTGCCTTCGTCCGTGTAGTTGACGACGATACTCCTGTCGAAACCTGTCTCCTTGATCTTGATGCCGTTGGCCTTGGTCGAGATACATTGTATGCACACGGCAGGACATACCACTAAATCAAATAAATTATCATTAGAAATTATTCCATCTCTCTACATTTAATGCGTTTCGCATTATTAAGTCTGTACTCATTCGGAATAAAGATCGGCCTGGCGCGCTCTTCTCCGTATAGTTAACCGCTTTGCCTTAATTGCGTGACGTTTTATCCGGGAAAGTGCGTTATTTCGTGCTAATTACCCGATTTAATCAGCCTAACCCGAAACGGTCCTCCCTTTTAAATACAGCGAAACTTCTCGCGGCATATTATTCGTGCCACACCCCTCTTTATTGGTTTTTTTATTTTTATTTCTTAACAGATGACGGAGACATTTTTAGTTTCTTCCACTTATTTATAGATTTATAATATTCTGTAACGTAACGTACAAATTCCATTTTTTTTTTTACCAGGCGTAACTTCTTACGCGCCGGAATTCGCGGATAAATTAAATACAAAATGTGATATTAGACAGGTTTGACACTCCCGAAACGAAAATTGTCGATCGAATTGAAGACGAACATTGAAAAGACACTAAGAATAACGCCTATCGATGGATTACGTATGCAAATAAGACATTTAATTGGAACCAGAATACATTCCCATCGGTCATTTTTCCCATCTCTTCCCTCGTTTCCTCCCTCCAATTCCGACTTTCGTGCACTTTTAATTCTTCGTTTTTCCACAATTTATCAAAGTTGTTGCGTTTTCACACGAGTAACGCGTCACTGAGTTTGGTTTTTCCCAATAAAATATCCTTCTAAAAGTACAAGAATCTGAACTTGACAAGAAAGTCTACAGCATGCTTAGGTTATATAAAAATTCGTGTTTCAGCATACCTAATCTTAAAGATAGTTGTAACTAAAATATAAACAATGAAGTGAATTCGAGAAATTTTGCTGGACCTAACCCAAACCCTACCCGTTGAGAAGTTCCGTTGCGAAACATCATTTACGTTACGGTAATTAAATACTTGTACGCTACTTTGGTAGGAGACGAAGTAGTATTCGAAGCAACGAAGGAATTCGCCAATGTTTTTTTTTTCTTTTTTAGTTTAAGAAAATTACGTAACGTTCTTTCGTCGCGAATATCGATGATCGTACTTTAACCCCGAGGATCCAGATGGCGCAACGTAACCATCTGGAGGTCTGAGGAAGGGAACGTGACGGGTCAGCAAATGACGTGTGCTTCCGTCAATTCCCTCGACCGGAAACACGTCGACGCCCGATATCCGTCCGTCGACCTATCAGTTGCCTGAGAAAGGTGATAATCGGATAGATATCGAAGACGATCGACAACAATAAGACAATGGATTTTAACACGAAGCCGTATTTTTTCTAAATAAAAAAGAGGAAAGTGAAACCACGAATAAATTACACAGTCCTCGATTTTATATTTCTACTCCAAAGTTCGAAAACATCGATATTTTACAAAAAAAAAACAAAAAAATCAATCATTTTTTAACGCGAATGAGGGTATGAGAATTCCAAAACAATTCTTTTGTACGGTACAATCTTCTAGAATTTTATAGTCCATTTCCGAAATATAGTATTTCGAACGTTATCGTAAAAGATAGAAGTAGGTAGAGGGCGAGTGAGATAAGTTTATTTATCTGTTTAAGTGGCAATCGATGGTCAGACCCGATTTCACTCCAGGATGTGGAAAATGGATGCGTGTCGATTGCAAAAGGGGCGTTGTCTCTCACCAAAGAAAGGAAATTCGAGTGGAAACGTAGAACAAAACACGATCAATTTAACCCTTTTCGACTTAAAATACGATTTCCGTTTTCGATTCACTCACTTCAATTCGTGACACTGAGCACATCCGATTAAAGTTACTCTTTTGCAACTATGTTGCGGATAAAATTCTTTTTTAAATCCGATCGATCTGGACATTTAAGAAAAAAAAAAATGATAAATATTTGACTTTCTTTAGTCGAAATGACTGTTTTGACTGAATTTTTCTGTAATTCGTGCAGTGAATTACATAAAAATTCGAACTATTCGTTTTTATCGCTTCGGATCGAACAGCGGAATGATCCTCCTGTAGTACGCTCTCACCATGATGCTAAAAATTAAGAAAAAGATGGGCCTGAATTAGTAATTTCTTCCCTGTATTTCTATAAATTTGGCAACCTCTAAGCGTTTCTGTTAGATTGAATACATTGGCAACGTATTGGTAAATTGGTAGCTTACGTAGAATCACATTTGAGCAATGAGTCGCCATGTTTAGTCCTCGGTATACTGTTTATAGATTTTAATTTGCATTATTTATTTATTTACCAATAAATTTATTACAATAATTTTAATTTAAGTTAAAAAATAAATTTCAAATTTTATATGGAAAAAATAATAATAATAATAGCTTTATACTAAATTCGTTTTATTAAATACAATTAAACGGTATATTATTAAATCAATTTTTTTGACTCGTATAGAAATTAAATAAATTTGTACAACTTGTAAATGAATAATATTTTATTGTTTCCGTATTGTAAATTTGTATTCTTTTAAATATAATACTCCAATTATCTTCTCTTTTTTCGTTTAAATGCTTTAGTTTCAAGAGAATATACTGTATTGTGTTGAGATTTATGCTTTAAAAATAGAATAGATCTTCTTAATATAATACTTAATTGCTATAAGAAAATGTTTCTAAAGACAATATCATATTTCGATGATATTGTCTTTAATAAAAGACGAAAGATAGTTATATTTGTTATTTTACAAACCAAATTCAATACTTTCCCGTATTAAAAACACGGATAAGACTCGCGAACACAAAAGGACAAAAAAGAAAGAAAGAAAAAGAAAATACAAAGAGCTAGTCACAAACAATGAAAGTGATTTTAATATATTTTTAAAAATTAAAGAAAAAACAACGCTTTTTATTGATCAGGTTTGTCAGAGTGCGTGGTGGAGTGGCCTCACCCCACCGTATACCTCACTACAATGCATTTACACACACACAAACACAATGATTAAAATTTTAAATTTGGTTATGTTTATCGGATTTTGGGGTATATAGGGGCTGTGCATAAATTAGGTAACGCATATATGGGTGGGTGAGTATGAAGGTAATCGTTACGATACGTTACAAGGAGCGTTTACAAAAGCGCTACTTAATGCTAGTGTCTCAATCGTCGGGGTAACGGAATGATTTATTTTTGTTTCTCAAGTGTTGCAGCATAGCAAACCATACTGTTTAGGTTACTGCTTTGCACGTTTGAACGTAACATTAATTAGTGAAATAATGTTACGTTCGGTATCATATACTGTGTATTATTCCTTAGTGCAATTAAGGGGATTGATAGAATTACGCGTTACGTAATTTTGGAGTCGGTATATGTGACGGCGTTACGGAACGTTACGGAAGATGAGATGATAGTTGAAAGCATTAAAATACCGTTATGTAACTTATGGACGATCCAAACTTAAGATTCTCTGTTCAGATAATACTTATTATACAAATTAAAATCAATAAATGGCTTCTAATAGAAAAACGAAATTTATCTAACGATCCAAAAGATGATATATGAATAAGGGTGAAGGCTCGACCCTTGGAGTTTTGAAAATTTTGCTCATGGCCCGCAAAATAAAGAGCCCAGTTCCGTTACGGTTCATACAACTAACGGCGTAACGAACTTATTTTTAAATACAAATATATTCGATAAGTACAACACTGACTAAATATAATAGATACAGAGCGTTGCGAAAGGGTTCGTGACATTGCTAAGTCAAAATGACAAACTAGGCCTTAAGTATTTTAAGAAAGACTTAAGTATATCTTTAAAATGTTATATTTTGTATTAAAAACATATAAAAATAAAACAGCGGCCTGCGAGATATGTCCCGAGGCCCCAACAAGACATAATAATGACGTATTTCAAAACATACTGTTCTTTAATAATAGTGTTAAGTACAGCTCTATTCAAGTCTTGTAGAAGTTAAAAAACTCAGACTAACCAGTTCATGTAACCGTTTAGTCCATGAATGTTTCACATTAGCATCAGTAAATGAAGTTAAAGTAAAATGTATTTTATCATCGTTAATGGTTTTTTAATCTAATTTCCCAATCCTTTTATGTATTCTTATAACACAGTGTTACAAGGAAGCGCTTGGTTTGATCATTTTTGTAGAGATAGATGAGAAGGTACATAGACATTATGTAAAATTTCCGCCCTGTCACTTCAAAAGTCACGTGTTACGGCCGTAGAAGTCGCTATTATAAATTAGGCCTATTTAAAATGTAAATACTGTACGAATATATTAGAATATGATTATTAGCTACACAATATTATTGACTATTTATTTGTTTATTATTATTTTATTCTTTAATTAATTATTTTGTTAGTCGAATTAAGTTATTTGTTAAGTATCATACATAAATAATTTCACCAAAATTGTGTTTGCATTTTCTTTTTATTTCTCATTTCTTTTAATAGAAATAATAAGAAAGGACTTAATTAATAACTTATCTTGCAATGGACCGTGAAAATATTATTACGTCACTGAGTGGTTCACGATGTTTGAATGGCATAAATGTCGCGATCCATTATATTTGATTCGCTCTATATGTAGCCTATATAGCCTATTTATATATAGCTAGGAACTTCAATCAAAGTCACGAAAGTGTCACCACAAAAGACGGCAGATTTTTTTTATAATCTCTTTTTCATTTGTAATAACTGTGATTATTTCGTCTTTAATTATGATTGAGATCAACAGTAATTTCCCTTCCTTCGTGTCGTAATCAAAGTTTTTCAGTGACTATGTTAAAGAACCTGTATTAACAGAAGTATCACGTAGATATCAATTATTAACATTTAATAAAACTTCTAAAGGTTGATCAAAGAACTTTGAGTGAAAGTTAAGATTCATCATCTCGCTATTTCAACAATTTTTTTTTCTTTTTTTTTCAAAACTGAGAAAACCAGAAACTATTTTTGCTCGTTGCCGAACTTTATTGGAATCTCTGTCCTGGATTTCTAGTGTAGGATCCCTCGTGTGATCGACTAA